GACGCGCTCCATTGGCTCTGAGCTAAATTATACGTTTGTCCGTTAGTCTTCTCTAACAAACCGGTCGACCGCTGCTTGTTGTTGTCGTCTGTATTCAACTTAGTGACGAAACGCGTCCTTTTCAGCTACCGTAGAAAGGTGGCGACGTCGCTGTGAGAGGAGGTGTATGCAGACAGAAATGGTTCACCGTGTCAGGTCTCTCTGTGGATCCAGATTTAACGCACCGGACCTTAGTCTCCCGTCACTCACTGGGTTCTGCTGCTTTGGGTTTCCTCAGTCGGAGCTGCAGGACGGCCGACCTGTTGGCCGTCTTCTTCTCTCTGAACGCCCTCCACTTCTCTCGCTCCTTCTCCCTCAGATCCTCCATCAGGTTGTTGCTGGCGACGAGCCACGACGTCCTGTTGAGGCCCCGCCTCGTGTCGGGCGTCGACCTCGGCGCACAGCAGGGTCTGCGGACGTCCTTGTGGAGAGGTTTGTTTCCGGCTCTGGGCGGAGACACAAAGTCGTCCTCTGACGTCTGGTCTGAACCGGAGACAGACGACTTCTGCTGCTGCTTTAAAGATTCAGGAGAGCTTCCTGAGTCGCTCTGAAAGAATCACATTAAAGGCACATTTTAACTTTTCAAACAGTATTTTATTCTCTGCTGCATTTCCCTTGATCGCACGTGATTTACTTCCACTTTTCTTTCAACATCTGAATTTCTAAAATGTTGTTTTGGAGTTACTTCCTGTTAACACTGTCCTCAGAATATCGTCTCATAAAGCTGCGACTTTATTCTCAAACATGCTGATGAAGTTACAACTTTATATCTGAGGTTTTTATGACTTCTTATAAATATTACAACTTTATTCTTAAAGTATTATGACTTTATTTCTTAAAACTACAACTTGTGCTCATAATATTAACGGGTTTAAAAGTCTTTCAGTCTGAGATTTTCTCAAATTAATTCAAGTGAAGAGATTTTGGTTCAACGTTTGATTCCTGCTGGTGTTTCAGAGGAGGAGGAAGCCGCCAATCACCGGTCTGCTCTTCCAGCTGTACCTTCTCGTCAGCGGCGTCCTCGTCGGTGTCCACTCTCCTCCACGTCCCCTTTTTCTGCGTCGGTGAACTCAAACTCCCAGCATGCTCCTCACCTCGCAGTTCTGCCAGATAGTCCAGCGACTCCACAGAGATGTTTTTAGAGGACAGGGGCGGACCTGGAAGGTGAAAGGGAATGAGCTTTCATACATAGAGACATAACGTCCCTTCTGATTCAGTCAGTCACGTGTTGCCATTAGCTCTCACGCCCAAACGTCCACCAATCTGATCTGAAGCCTGTGAAGTGACTGAGGGTTAAACTGCTCTGTGCTCGTTCTTAATTTAACTAACATTAGCTGACCTCTCTCCTCCAGAGCGCCGTGGGGCAGCAGTCACTCATTTTACCTCTGAGGTCACTTTTCTTCTTCTGTGGTGGAGTCAGGGGCTCTGAGGCCTCGTCAGGCGGCAGCAGGCGGTCTGACGCTCTCTTAGGACGCCATCTGGTGGATAAAACACACAACGGCAGTTTGGTGAAAACAACTGGGGGTCAAAACTTGTGCTTTAGTTTTAATGTTGAGAGACTTTTAACGGATTCTTTTCACCAGCTGGGAGTGAAAACTTTTACTTTACAGTCCTTTTCCTTCTCGTCTCCGTGCCATTTTGGGGCGGATTCATAAAGTTTTGGGAGTTACATCTGACAACTCTTTAAAAAGCGTCGGACGAGAGAGACGCTGAGATTTAATGCAGGTTTCTGACATGAACATGAATTTCAAGGAGCAGCAAACAGAAACTGGAGGAGCAGCTGATCTTTTTCCAGGAGAAATGATGGAAAGGAAATGATTTGTGTTTCCTTGTGTTTCCGAACCAGCGTCCGGCCATTGTGAACTCACCCGTTTGAGACGCAGCCCGACGACGACTGGGCTCTCTGTCCGGGCTGTGATTGGCGGCCGCAGCTTCCCGGTGCTCTGCGATTGGCTGTTGGCGCTCCTCTGTTCGGGCTGTTGAGTCCCAGCAGCGATTTGACGTAGTCCCTGAAAACAGGTGTACACGGCACGCTGAGGAAATAAAACCACCAGGTTACATTTTCACTGCGTTTCATCTGCTGTAACGAACTCTGCAGCCTGCAGGGGCCGCTCCACAAACCTCTGTCTGCTCGTTGAGGAGCCCAGCGCGTTCCCAGCATGCATCCTGTCAGCCCGCCTCTGCTGGACTGATGCCCATAACCCTGTTCAGATGAAAGCAGACGGACCAGACTGAAGGTCAAACACTGACGAGACTAACCGATCAGACCTGATCCAAGTAAATATTTCTCCTCTATTTAAAAGCCACCTTAAATCCTGCCACTTAGATCTGATCACTAATGACAGAAAAGTCAATTAAAAAATGGCAGATCAGATCGGCTGGTTCTTGCTACATCATACCACCTTAAAAGAGCTATCAGACCAGCAAAAGGGTTAGGTATACCATGTTTAAAAACCTGAATTAAACTGCCATTAAATACAGATATACCACCTTAAATCAATTAGTATACACAGTAACCAACAGATAGATCACAAACAATACTACCTTAACAGAGTGAGGTGATCATATATACCATCTTTATCCCACCTTAAAAGCACCATTAAAGCTAATTTGTCGTCTTTACAGGAGCTCAGTTTGAATATACCACCTTAAAGTTTCCAGCACATCATACGTAACACAATCACAGAACCAGTCCATTAATTGTGCCACCTTAAAAAACTGGCTGGTCAGATTTACCACCCTAATACACAACAGGTAACATACCACCTTCAATAAATTAATTTAACACCTTCAGCGTGTCTGGCTGATGAGTAATTCCATCTTAAAAAGGACCCGACAGTTGAGATATACTACCTTAAGATCGGTTGACAGCTTAAACAATAGACCACTTTAGCAAACGTTAACAGATGAATAATACCACCTTAAATTCTGGGGCGGGGCTCTGGAGGCGGGACAGCGGCGACTGCGAGTGCAGGTGGGAGGAGTCAGAACCCGCTGGCTGTTTCTTCTTGGGGATTTTGAACGGAGACGCCATGCTGCCGACACAGAACACACAAAATAAACAAACCAGATATATGCAGATTATATGCAGTTGTTAGATAATAATAATAATAATAATCCTTATTTGTAGAGCACTTTTCAAAAACAATTTACAAAGTGCTTTAACAAGTGTAAAGAATAATACAAAAAAACCAAGATAAATACAAAATACAAGATAGATCTCATGAAATAAAATTATAAACTGCCTGTTTGATCCAAATAAAAGCAGCTTCATATTCAACATTATCTAAATATTAAAATAATCTTCAACAGCCAATTTAAAGGCAACTAAATGTCGACAAAGTCTTAAAACTGCGTCGGATAAATAGACTAAAAAGAACAATTTGTTATAGAACAAGAAGTGAGGTCAATATTTGACCCCAAAACCAATTACCACCCTCAACCAGTAGACCAAACAATTACTGAGATTTACTGAGTGCTACAGCAGAACTCCATAACAAAACTTAAGGATTTAAGAAAAGAAACATAACAAATCTGTTTTTTGTGCTTGGTTCCCTCAGAAAATTGATCTGAAAGTAGTATTTGATTATTTGAATAATACTGTTGTCTTCACGCGCACACCAAGATGAAAAAATGTCCTCAAAATAAGGCTGACACGTCATTTTTAATCAGCCATTTTGTGAACAGTTTTGACCAGTAAACAGTTAAATGCTTTGCTCAAAGGCTTGTCCAGCTCAGGAATTTAACCCGAGACCATTCAATCATTATATATTCATTCAAGGTTTTACACCAGCCGACTTTTACCCCGAAATGTATAAAACTACTGCTGCTCTGGCAGATGTCATGAAAAAGTACACACACCAAACTACATTCAAAAACATGAGGTTTTTAAACGCAGTGTCACTCCACCTAATAAAACCTCTGTACTTCCAGAACTAATAGTATTTTTGGATATTTAGGGTCAGACTGAAATACACACAAAAAAGCACTTTATGTTAAATTGTTTTAAAAGTATAAGTCCTTATATTATAAGAAAATTATGCTGAAATATGTTACGTTAGCTAAGCTTGGGGGGGTTAGCTAGCTGAGCGTGCGGACCAACTATAAAAGATGATATTTCTGCTGTGTAAGTCACATTTCTTGGATTGTTTGTGCGCCGAATTTACCAGCAAACCCTACGGACTATTTAAAATATGTACTTCTATTGTACCGGGCATGTAAGTTTTAATTTAAGTACTCAAACATTAAATAGCGTTAATTCTTAGCAGCAGCACCTGCCGAAGGTGCGTTGTTTACATTTTTAGCTCAGATGCCTTTAACCTCAGACAAAGCACAGAGTTACACAGCCTTTCTGTTCGGTACTGGTGTAAATGAGTTCGTTGTGGTGTTATTAACAGGAAGCTAAAGCAGCTCTCGGCTTTAACGTTTGACAGTTACGAACCTAACAGCAGCTGCTGCAGCTACGCTGCTAACTCGCAAGCTAGCCGGCTAGCCAGTGAGCTAAGGCAGCCGCTCTCCGACTTCTTCTTCTTCTTCTTGTTAAATGTTCGGAAACTCTCCTGCCGGCTCATGTGGTCGCGAGGATGTGCCGCCCTGTTAGTGAAAAGTAAAAACACATTTCTAAAAACACGCTTCTGTCCGAGCAGGGAAGGATTTTCTCCAAAGACTCAGCAGGACAACAGCCACATGACGACATCCCCTGCGTTGGCTTTACGCGATGACGTCATCAGCAGTGTCGTGGCAGAGACGGTCCAAGGTGAGCAGGTGGACCAACTGAGTCCTGATTGGCTGCGAACCGTCTCTGCTGCTACTGACTAATCAACAAAACACAGACCAATACTTCACTAATATTCATATAATATGAATATCATTTCTAAACCTGTCCTGATGGAGAAGGTGGTGCTTTCTGAAACGCTTGTTTTCACCAGTGTCGCTCAACATAGTTCATTTAAAGCACGTTGAAAGTTTGAGTGAGTAAACTTTATTTGTACGGTGCTCTTCACAGACAGCCACTGCTTTACAGAAACATTAATATTTACAGAACAAAAACAAACACAAAGAAAATAAGATAAAATGACCACAGGAGCTACATGAAACAGTACGTAATAAATAATAAATAAATACATAACATTTGCAAAGTACTTAGTAAGATACATGATAAATACACAGTAAGTGTTGAAGGAGTTCACAATAAATACATAGTAAGTAATAAAAAAACACATAAATACATAAACTGCAGACCTGCTGCAGACAGGTTACCAAATGCTTGTCCAAACATTAAATAACAACAGTAATCTTATAATGATAATTTACTCTGCTACTGACTGCCGTCCCCTCTGGTGTACATTCATCAGAACAGTGTCGGTATTACATCAGAACAGTGTCGGTATTACATAAACTTATTTTACAGGTAAAAGTTTTAAGAGATCTAAATGCAACTTACATGTGTACAAGCAAAACCCTCCCAAATTAAAATGTACATTAATGTTCAAAACGACTGTTAGGATTTATTGCACATTTCGTTGATAGCAAGATGAAGATTTCTGACTACACAATTTGTTCTCCAGGTCGTCCAGAGAGGACACGGTTTACAGGCCTCGGAGGCCCCTCCTGCAGCTATTTTAAACAAACATGAACACTAACTGAGCCTTTAAATAATAATAATAATAAACTTAAGATATCATTTCTGTGCAGGTAAGACAGCTCTGGAGGCAGACGACCAGCGAGAACGACTGGACCTGAAGACTTCAGATTAGACTCTTTACATGTCACAAGCTTACCAAGACTGGAACAGACCCGGTCGGACCTCCATCAGCTGAACAGTCTGGAACCACAGTATTGATTCTGCCCATGCTAATGCTCTACAGCTGGCACAGAAAGGCAGAGGAGTTAAACTTCACTCCATAGCCAAAGCCAGGATAAAGAGGTTCAGTGAATGTGGTGCTGAAGGTGTGGAGGTGGATCAGAGTGTCACAGGAGACTCTGTAGAAGGACAGAGAGCCAGCAGCATAGTCCAGATACACTGCTACTCTGTTAGAGACCGAGGAGGAGGGGATGAGTGTCCCACTGTTATTGTGCCAGGCGTTGTATCCTCCATCAGTGCAGCTCAGACACCAGGACTGATCATTCCCTCCAAACTTGGAGCCATCGCGGTCTCCACTCCGTCCTATTCCTCTGTAACTCACTGCGATATAAACCTTTCCTACCCACTCCACCTCCCAGTAACAGCGACCAGTCAGAGCGCTTTCACACAGCACCTGAGGCCAGTAGTCAAATCTCTCCGGGTGGTCAGGATACGGGTGCTCCTTTCTCAGATCGGTCACCTTTTTGTTGTTTTCAGACAGTTTGAGGAATTTGTGTGCTGTGTTTGGGTCCAGTGAGAGTTCACAGAAATCTGATGGAGAGAACAACATAGAAAGGTTGGATTGTTATTGTGAAAATCATCCCAAAAGTCAAGTGAAAACTGACTAACCAGACCTGCGAGCAGATCTCAACATGGCCTAAGCCCCTGGGGCAAGCTGCGCCCTGGCGGCCCAGGGGATGCAAGTCGGACCTGCAGTCCCACTGGCACGATAAAAGACGCAGGTTGAGAGCAGCAGATTTTGGAAAGCATTTAATTCAAAAGACTAGTTTGGAAAAATAATCTTAGCACATTTCTTGAATTTGGACACGGCCCTAGGGGGGCATGGGAAAGGATTGGGCCTAATTTCGTGTTAACTGGACTGGGCTATGTGGAGATATGTTGCAAAGTTTAGTACCGATTGGACACACCGCCTAGGAGCAGTTTGAAAATGTAGGTTTCAGACATTTTGCGATTTGGCGAAAACAATTATTGGCGAAAATCAAAAAGGTGCCGTGGCCTATATTACAAGTTGCAGCCAAATTCAGGGAACACAAGGCGAATATATATACGGCATTTGAATGTGCGACACCTTATGAAACGCTTTTATCTTGATTATGACATGTAGAATTTTTGTTGTCTGCTGTGTGTGTCCCATTTAAGGCCACCCTTGTCTATTTAAAAGCTATTTTAAGTTTTCATGTAGTGGCTCAGGTTTTGTGTTAATCAGAGATATGATTTCCTGTTTTAACCATAACCCAAAGGAAACAGTGTCTTTATAATTTATGTATTCTTTCGATGATCAAAATTATTTTAATAATTAAAATAATTTTTATCACAATACTGCGATAAAGCACACACATGTACACAAATTATCGTTCTATGCGAATTATCTTCTCCTTCTTTTGGATCCATGTACTTCAGTTGCTCTTGATCTTATATCTGTTCGGCGGGGGTCAGGATTTAAGTTGAATTTAACCAAAAGTGTTCTATTCCCCAAACACGATAAAGCACACCAAATGTCCTTCCAGAGCTTCCATTTTTCTGTTAGTAAGGATGGCTTTACTTATTTGGGTGTTTGTGTCACTGACAAGTACGGGGGGGATCTGTTCGACACTAATTTTTAAACGGCACGCAATAACACCAAGCAGGATATGGAGAGATGGTTGACCCTCCCCCCTTGTCACTCGCTGGAAGGATCAATTCTGTAAAAAAAAAAGAAACAATACTATAACGCTTAGATTTAAATTTTTATTCCAAGCAATCCCCGTCTTTATTCTTTAATCTTGTTTTAAGGAGTTAAATAAATTCACAATAAATGCACAACTACCTTTATTTGGAATAAAAATTGGATGATGAATGTCCAGGTTGGTGTATCACAGTACAGCAGTCATGTAACCCGGTGTGCCCCACTACCCCAAAATAAACGCTACTGCACGAACATCCCTGATTGATCAGTTTAGAACCCATTTTAAACGCAAACAACTTTTTGTTACTTTCACAACTCTGGCAAACGTCTACTTTGCTACTGCTCTCATAGAACCATCTTTTCAGCTATAGCATATGAGAGGGATCAAGTGTGTGACGGACCATTTTATGGAAGGGCACTTTATTTAGTTTGAACAGGAAAAGAAGGAGTTTAACATTCCTTAGTCAGGTTTGGCGGTGATTGCATTGTTTGGTGTAGTCCAAGGGGGATTACATTTTCTATAGGCTATAGCATTTTCTATGTTATTTGCTAGACGTCTGATACTCCTTAATTGGAAGAACGTTATGCCACCGTCTCAAAAGCTGGACAGTTGATGGAGTAATAAAAGTATGTAAACATTTATATTGAATGGACAACGTTTGCGTAGTTTGAGATACGTACAGTAGTGCAAGATCAATAAACAAGTCTGTGTGTAGTGGGGAAGCAGCAGAGTATGGGGATAAGTCCAGGTGAGTGTGTGTGGTGGGTGTATTTAAAAGTCTGACAGCTCAGGGGAAGAATCTTTTGCAGAACCTGGCAGGGATGGTGTTAATAGTCCTCTTTCCTGAGGCCCCAATGTGTGTCTGGTATTAAAGGGGGAATCAGCAGCAAACTGTATGCAGTGTTTGTTCTACTACAATTTTCTAAATACATCACCACCAAGGAAGAGTTCAAAAAAGTGGGTTTCAAACATTTTGCAGAAAAATAATAACAGACAAAAATGGGCATAGCCTATATATATAGCTCAATTCTTAGAATGCATGAATCTAAGGTTTTTGATTGTGCGACATACTACATGGGAGTTATGAGCATAATTAAGGTAAAACACATTTACCTTAATTACAGCGGCACCTGCTGGTTGACATGTGTCATTTTTTGCGTCTTAAGCAGTTTGGTCGACTTTACCACCCTGATTAATTTCACTTACATAATGTTAATAGTAAAGGCAGCAGTATGGCTATCGCTTGTACTGGGATCTATGCTGCCTTGCCCCTCTCACATTTGGACCCATACAAAATGTGTTAAATGCTATCTGCTTTTGAAAATCCAACTTTATAGGTTTTGTTTTCCTTAATCAAACCAAAACACACTTACACTTCCTCAATCCTGGTTTCAACCACTGGACCCCATCAGGCTCCACGCTGAAAGAGAGAGACAGGGGTGGGTGTTATTGGAAGTCGGAAAACCAAGTTGTCATGCTCAGTAATTGTCTATACAGTTATTGATAGTGTCTCTTCATACTTGAGATTTTCCAGTCTGCAGTGTGTAAGTTCAGCACACAGCAGTTTCCCTCCTGAGACTCCTGAATGATTGTAGGTCAGGTCCAGCTCTCTCAAACGGGAGGGGTTGGAGCTCAGAGCTGATGCCAGAAAAGCACAACCTTCCTCTGTGATCAGACAGCCTGACAGCCTGCAAACACAAAATAATTGAAGGTATAAGTTTAAGTCTAATTTAAAAAGCACATCATCTGCATATTATTTTACCTATTGGTATTCCAGTTACACAAGTCACTAATTTTTAAGGAAGTGGGAAAGGCATTGGCGTTGTGTCAATTCTACTTGTTTTGTGTTTTGTAGATTTAGAGAAGGCTTAAGACCATGTCCAACATTAAATCATGTGGAGGTTGCTACTCAGTATGGGGTACATTATCCAGAGATTTGGCTCCATCACAACATCCAGGATCACCCTTGGTGGTCAAATGTAGTCAAATTCGATAGATCGGATTCAAAAAATGCCCTACAGAATTACTAAATTCTGGGTGCATACATGTAGATGTATATAGGTATGTAAATATTTATTTTTATTCGTTTTACCCTGTGTTGTAAAATAACAAAATACCATGACCCCCCGTGATTGGTGGATATATATGGGCTGGATGGATTGTTTTCCTTAATGTAAAAGGTATTTAAGCGGTATCAATCTAATCCTAATCTAATGTAAGCATATCATCAGTAAATTGATTTACCTATTGGTATTACAGCTAAGCAAGTCAAATTTTTCAGCAAGTGGTTTCAAAATCATAACAAAAAATAAAAACAAATTCCATGAACATTTTTTATATATAGAGTTTTATTGACGAGCCCTGATTAACTGATCTCAATTATGTCATGAGGTTTGTGTTCCCAATACATTTATAAATAAGTATATCACCAAAGCCTTTAATTCTAAGTTATGTTCAGTCAGTGTATGAGTCGGCTAACAGGACTAAAACTACAGAAAAAGTACCGGCCCTAGTTTATGCCAGATCTCTGCAGCAGTTAAATTGTGTGACTGCGACCTCTTGAGATAAATAAAACCAATTCAAAACAATACAGGGAAGACAGAGAACTGATCTGACCTGAGAGTTTCCAGTGTACAGTGTGGACTCTCAAGTCCAGCGGACAGCAGCTTCACTCCTGAATCCTGCAGGTTGTTGTTACTCAGGTCCAGCTCTCTCAGACTAGAGGACTGGGAGCTGAGAACTGAGGACAGAGCTTCACAGCTTCTCTCTGAGAGGTTACAGCCACTCAGTCTGGAGAGGGAATAATGAGCAGAAGAGATTTTTTTTACATTTGAATCATTAACAGCACATTTAACACGATCTGAAATGAACAAAACTTACAGAGCTTTCTTGGAGGCTTTGACCACTGGCAGCAGCCTCAGAAGAGCCTCCTCTGAAGCAGAATATTTCTTCAGGTCAAACACGTCCAGATCTTTTTCTGAAGACAGTAAGATGAAGACCAGAGCTGACCACTGAGCCGGAGAGAGTTGATCTGTGGCGAGGCTACCAGATCTTAAGTACTGTTGGATCTCCTCCACTAGAGAATGGTCTTTCAGCTCATTCAAACAGTGGAACAAATTGATGCTTCTTTCTGGACAAGGGTTCTCTTCAATCTTCTTCTTTATGTACTGGACTGTTTCCTCATTAGTCTGTGAGCTACTTCCTGTCTGTGTCAGCAGACCTCGTAGGAGAGTCTGATTGGTCTGCAGTGAAAATCCCAGGAGGAAGCGAAGGAACAAGTCCAGGTGTCCATTTGGACTCTGTAAGGCCTGGTCCACAGCACTCTGGTAGAACTGTGTTTGTTCTTCTGCCAGCAGGTTGACACCAGAGTTGATGAAGGTCAGATGGACATGAAGAGCAGCCAGAAACTCCTGAACGCTCAGATGGACGAAGCAGAACACCTTGTCCTGGTACAGCCCTCTCTCCTCTTTAAAGATCTGTGTGAACACTCCTGAGTACACTGAGGCTGCTCTGATATCGATGCCACACTCTGTCAGGTCTGATTCATAGAAGATCAGGTTGCCTTTCTGCAGCTCCTCAAAAGCCAGTTTTCCCAGAGACTCAATCATCATCCTGCTCTCTGGACTCCAGTGTGGATCTGTCTCAGCTCCTCCATCATACTTGATGTTCTTCAGTTTGGACTGAACCACCAGGAAATGGATGTACATCTCAGTCAGGGTCTTGGGCAGCTCTCCTCCCTCTCTGGTCTTCAACACCTCCTCCAGAACTGTAGCAGTGATCCAGCAGAAGACTGGGATGTGGCACATGATGTGGAGGCTTCGTGATGTCTTGATGTGGGAGATGATTCTGCTGGCTAGCTTCTCATTTGTGAACCTCTTCCAGAAGTACTCCTCCTTCTGTACGTCATTGAACCCTCTGACCTCTGTTGCCATGTCAACACACTCAGGAGGGATCTGATTGGCTGCTGCAGGTCGTGTGGTTATCCAGAGGCGAGCAGAGGGAAGCAGGTTCCCCCTGATGAGGTTTGTCAGCAGCACATCCACTGAGGTGGACTCTGTAACATCAGTCAGGACCTCATTGTTGTGGAAGTCCAGAGGAAGTCGACACTCATCCAGACCGTCAAAGATGAAACAACCTGGAACTCTTCAAACCTGCAGATTCCTGCTTCTTTGGTTTCAGGAAAGAAGTGATGAACAAGTTCCACCAAGCTGTACTTTTTCTCTTTCAGCACATTCAGCTCTCTGAAAGTGAATGGAAATGTGAACTGTATGTCCTGTTGGCTTTGTCTTCAGCCCAGTCCAGAGTGAACTTCTGTGTTAAGACTGTTTTCCCAATGCCAGCCACTCCCTTTGTCATCACTGTTCTGATTGGTTCATCTCTTCCAGGTGAGCCTTTAAAGATGTCTTCTTGTCTGATGGTTGTTTCTGGTCTGGCTGGTTTCCTGGATGCGGTTTCAATCTGTCTGACCTCATGTTCATCATTGACCTCTGCAGTCCCTCCCTCTGTGATGTAGAGCTCTGTGTAGATCTGGTTCAGAAGGGTTCGGTTTCCTGCTTTAACAATCCCCTCAAACACACACTGGAACTTCTTCTTCAGGTTGGATTTGAGGTTAAACTGGCACATGACAGGAGATTCTGAAAGTACAAGTAAGATCTTTGAGTGTACTCTCCACATGAACCCCCCCCCCCCATCCCAAATAGAAATTAAGTAAGGTGTATTGTTATAAATATTTGGTTTGTCGGAGATCTGTCTTCTAGCTTTGCTTTGCGCTCATCACTTCAACAAACTTTCAGAAGTGCAGACATCGACAGATGCAAGACGCAAGTTTGTTCAAGACTTTGTGGGTGGAGTCAGATATTCTGACCAGGCTTTGTTAACAAGGAGGACCGTTGCACAAGTGGAAGTAGCATCCTTCAGACCAACTATTACCATGTGCGCAAGCATAATATGGCGCCTGTCCTGCAGAAGATCGGTGGGAAGAAATTATCAGTAGTCAAGCAACAACCTATGTAATAGGGGACAATTCACAATACAAGTGTTGCAGCAATCCATTAATTGTGAATTATTCCAGTATTTTAATACCAATGTATTGTGAATTGTGCTCTGGTCCTCCATGCTCTGTAAGATCAAACCACCAGGAGCCATCCCAGGAGAAATCCGACAAAGGAAAAGAGGTAAGAAGGGAGATGTATATACCAGGCTGTCCCTGACAGCAAGGTACACCTCGATAACTTCACCATCTTCAGGGCAGACCGAACGCAGGAGTCGGGAAGAGAGCGGGATGGAGGTGTCTGCATGTACATCAATAACAGATGGTGTAAGAACATCAAAATCCATGGCCAGATCTGTATGCAGAATATGGAGATGTTGACACCATCTGTGTTTCACCTTTCAAGAGAATTTCACACAGCTGTGTTATATCCCACCCAGCACCAACACCAAGGCTGCAGCCCAACTAGTTGCTAGCATTGATGGAATTTGCAGCAACGTATCCTGAGGCTCCGGTGCCTATGGCTTGTGGACATTCTGAAGAGGAAGGGGAACACTCTGCACTATTATGTTCACTTACATCTCGAGCTCACCGGCTCACCACTTGGTTTTGCAGACTACAACATGATCTTCCTGCTTCTGCACTACAAGCAGGTACTCAAACGTCACAAGCCTGAGACCTACAGCGTCGGACATGTTTGGATGTTCAGCACTACACAGACTGGAATATTTTGGGGGTGACCTGGAGGAAAAGGTCTCTCTTATAACAGTCCTCATCTTGATCTGCATCGACACAGCCATTCCAATCATAAATGCTAAAAGATACCCAAACATTTCAAAAAATAAAACACTCACAGGACAAGAACTAAAATCCAAGTTGGCTGCAATAACCAATCCCACATCATTTGCTGAGGACATGAACATAATTTACTCAAGGTCTCACAGAGTTAACTGCTCAGACACACAAAAGCACTCATGCAAAAAACCCTCCTCCCAGCCGTCAGACCACAACTGGACCCATATCAGTTACAAAGCTAATAGGGGTACTGAGGATGCGGTGGTATGCCTCCTGTACTCTCTCCATCCCTGCCACACCTGGAAATACCCGGTAATTATGCCAGACTCCTTCTCATAGACTTCAGTTCTGCATTTAAGACAATCCAGCACCATCAGGTGATCGGGAAACTCCACCACCTCCACGTCCCCCCGCCCCTCATCCACTGGATTCACAGCTTCCTGTAACAGGCCACAATCAGTTGGGCTAGTTAGGGCAAAATCTTCAACCATCACCATTAAAACCAGCTCACCCTTCCTGTTCACCCTCTGCACCAATGACGGCGTACCTCCCTCACCTGTCACCACATACTTCAAATACTCCAATGACACTGCCGTACTTGCACTCCTAAATTACAATAACTCTCCCTCAGCCTACCAAGACTCCATCCCCCACCTCACACAATGGTGTACCAACAACTACCTTTGACCAACCCACCACTGACATCCAGAAAGGCTTTCATCAGAGACTTTCTGCCATCCGCAAACTCAAAGCACTCTCTGTCGCCCCCTGTCACCAACTGTGCAAGAGCAAACTCCAACCCATTCTACTCTACTGTTCCACGTTTACTGATTATGTTAACTGCCACCACAAATAGAATAGAACCTATCCGAGTCATTCACACTCCATCAAAAATAATTGGCCTTTCCACCCCCAACCTATCAGACCTTAAGAGTAAATCCACAAAAAGCAAAGCACAGACCCTCTACCCCTCCTTCACACTGCTTCCACCAGGACGTAGATACAGGCATCTTGCCTGGAAACTGAACCAGTACAGTAGAAGATTTGTGCTTACTGCTATAGTATTCTTAAATGAAACTTGTTGTTGCTGTTTGTGAGGCCGTGGACAGACCGAAGGCAGATTTCCCCTGTGGACAATAAAGACTATCTCTCTAATAGCAACCGGAAATTAAGAGACAAACAAAACAAACGCAGAAGGTAAACAGGAATTTTTAAATATAAACCTCTCCAGTTTATCCAGCAGGTTAAATCTTTAGAGAAATCCTCTTACTGCTCTGCAGACGCTCAGCCAGCTCCTCCTGCTTCATTCTCCTCAGGAAGTGCAGTGTGATCTTCAGAAATGCCTCTCTGCTGCTCCTCCTCTGCTCTTCCTCCTCACCGTCCAACACCTCCTCATCCTCCCTCTGACTCTCTAAGCATTCTGGGTAATCTGAATTTAAGGTTTTCTGGATCCTCTTCAGCTCGTTCTTCACAAAAGTGACAATGTTCTCCTCCAGCAGCTGGACAGAATATTATATGAAGGACACAATCAAAGTCAAATCATGGAACCAAACATCAGATCCATGTTGGACAGACTGACAATCCACTGGTCTAAAAAGTGCAGCGTGGAGATTATTGTGAACAGAATAGATGGAAAGTAGTTGTTGTACATGTACAGACCATAAATATGGAGTCCAGGTGTGTTTGATGCTGCTGGGCAGACTGACCACTGGGAACCTCTGAGCTCTCCTGGTGGACTCTGTGGAGGAATCATGAAGAGTTAGCTCACATTATGTCTGTCCACACAGAGACAGACACAAGGTAAAGGTCGTTTCAGTTAACGTGTTGATTAAAATATTGAATCTGATGGTTTCCCCTGACATTAAAGGGCTGATCGTACGGATTCCGCTGTGAATCAGTGGAACAGTCTGCATTTCTGTGCAGTCTTCTGTAATTTACACTTGTAGACTTGTTTTTTATAAATGTACACTTTTTAAAAATGTAATATTTGCATATGTCTTTATGTTAGAGAGGGAAATATTCTGCATAAATAATTAAACAGCATACCTCAATTCAAGAGAGGGGAGTCTATCTTTAAACATTAGAGGTACAGCCTTTGACTGGTCACTCCTCAAGGACACACAGCTGCATTCAAATCCACATCCGGGTTCAGATCCGGGTTCAGATCCAGGTTCAGGTAAGTCTATTCTCTGATAAATTCTGTTAGACAGAGAATAAGAGCACCAGGGAGGGAAATTAACTTTGTAGTCTCTATACTGAGAACTTGCTGGAGAAACTAGCAGCCATAAATCAGAATCAACTCGCCAAAGTTTCTTTAAAGTTTGGAGCTCGTCGTCACACTCAAGTAAGAAGAAGACCAATAACATCCTGCTAGGAAGCTGCCGAGGAACTTGGTTGAGTACTTCCACATATTAGCACTGTTAAGAACAAACTGCATCTAAAATTAGGCTTCAGTTTGAGAGTCAAAATTATTAACATGAACACGTTCATGTTAATAATTCTGCACCAAATTCTGAATTTATTTCAATCTTTGCCAGTAGAGCTTCCGGTGTGACGGTTAGTGCAGTGCAACAATAAGATCTGAAGGTTCAAAGAGGAGAGATGTGGCTCTGCAGAATCTGAAATGTTATTATGCTGCACAGCTCTGACCAGGGACGTGTTTAACTACTAAACTATTTAAACCCCCCTTGGATCTGCTGGAAAAACATCATCAGAAAGCTGAAAAGCTGTTTTTCTGACTGTGTAGAGATACGTGGTTCTCACTGGAAATATGTGATGATCTTATAGACCATGATGCATTGCTGAAGTTTAAACTACCCAACAGGATATAAAGGAGTTAAAATGAGCTCAAACATCTGCAGCAGTAAAATATTAATATAATAGGAATATTAATCCAGAAACATCAGATATAACAGAGAAACACTGACAGGAACATTTGAGTACTTTTACTGTCATACTGTCAGTACATGTTGCTGATAATACTCACATACTTTTACTGAAGGAAGCCAAGGTTTTGAATGAGAGTGTGTTACTGTGTTGTATTAGTACTTTCAACTGGAGCGCTCCTGTTAAAAAGTGAATATTACAGCGGCTCACCTCTGTTCAGGAGCAGGGGATCCACCTTTAAACAGAAGAGGATGAGACTTGGACTGGGCACTGCTGAGGGACACACAGCTGGGTTCAGGTTCAGGGGAGTCTCGTCTCTGATAGACCCTTTCAGACCAGGGAGGGATGACGAGTTTTAAGTCTTTAAACCAACAACTTTCCACAAGAGAAGTCACTTCCTGACATTAAGACCTGTTGATCCTGACTGAATATGTGGAATTAAATCCCTGCTAAAGTGTCTTAAAAATTGAATATCAGGAAGAAAAGATGACACGTATGAAGTGAAAGAGTGAAACATTATGATGAATGAATTTAGCATGTTTTACAGCTCAGCTTCATTTAATCTGATGGTTGGCTGAAAGCGGTGGACGAAGTATCCAGATCCTTTACTTAAGTAAAAATACTAATATCACAGTATCAAAATACTTCCCTACAAGTAAAAGCCCTGCACTGAATATTTAACTTGAGTAAAAGTATGTCGTACATGAAAAATTACTTAAATGATCGCTCGGCCACTCGATTAATCAGCTCGTCGTTTCAGCCGTACTGTTGGAGAGTTTCATTAATAACGAAACGTCTGATTTTAAAAACTCGTCATGTGTGTAAAACATCTGAATTCGTGAAGTAACTGAAGCTTGGATAATTGATCCAAGTACTTCCTCCAGTCCAACAATACATTCTGCTGGGCCAGATTTACTCTTTAACAACATGTTAACTCTGCTCACACCATAAAGAGACAGAACAGTGACTCACGCCATCTTTAAGGGAAGCTGTCTGTTAAATGAAACCGGTGGACTCATGGTGGCCCTTCATGGACACAGAGCAGCGTTCCTGTCAGAGAAACAACAAACAGCAAATACTGGTCATTTATAATGATGAGGCGCCTCCTGCAGGTGTGAATTCAGTTTGAATGATAAATTACATGTTTTTATGTTTTTAGTCCATCCATCCATCGTCACCCGCTTATCCTGCGTACAGGGTCGCGGGGGGGCTGGAGCCAATCCCAGCTGCCATCGGGCGAAAGGCGGGGTCCACCCTGGACAGGTCGCCAGTCCATCACAGGGTATTTTTTTAGTGTTCAAAACTAATAACTAAAGATGAGAAACAGTGACTAATATTAAATAACTGATAGCTTTCTTTTCTAATTCACACACATACAGAATACTTTTACTTCAGTACATATTTTATCGCTGGTGGTATTTGTTTTCCGGTACTTGTGTTTTAATCCTGGCAGTGTGCAGATGTGACGTCCAGCTTCTACAAAATAAAACAATTTCAAACTGGACAAAAATATTTTTAAGTGATTAGTCAATTAAACGATCATCAGGAAAAAGAACCAGCAAGTATTTTGATAAACGGTTGATCTGTAATTTAGGCGTTTATATTATGTCAACATTTCAATAAAGCATTTCTCTTCTTTAATTTATTTTTGTAAGTACCTCTCTTGTTTTCATTTTCAATTTCTCACTTGTTTTTATTCTTATTAATTATTAATATCTAATTATTCTTTATCTATTCTCTTGATTTGTTTATTTTAACATCCACCTGGTTCCATTATCAGGATTAATTAGTTTATTCAAGATTTATTATTAATAAATAAGTAACATATATAGGAAGGAAGGATACTTCCTGTCACCAAGTGTCCAAATAAGGTTATTGTTCCTCTATCCATGTTAGAAGAGTTTATTGGTTAGAATCAAGACATGTTGTGTGTCCTTCAAGCCATGTGCAACACTTTCCACAGAGAGAGAGTCAGTCTGATGTTTAGACTCCAGTGCGACGTCATGTCAGATTCTATTACTCTCCATGAGTTGGACTCTAATATGTGAAGCCAGTGAGTTCTTGTAAGTTTCACAGAGAGCACCAGGACCTGCTCGCCTGACGGCCGATCGGTCTGACGAGGACAGTTAGATGAGAGAAAGAACCACAGCTGGAAGGTTCAGTGAACACTAAGAAATATTTTTATGAGCATCTTGTTTATTCAAGTAATTAACTAATGAATACTATGAATCAGGACTGAACATGGTTTTAAAAAAGGATCAAAATCAGAGAATTAAAAGCTGAAAATATACTTTGCTTAAAAAAATAAAATGAGTTCAAAGTTGCTCATTGAACCTGCAAGAGCATTAATACGAACATAACTTAATAATAAATAACCCTATTTGAGCTGCCACTGCAAGTTCATCCATTTATTCATAGATATGAAAATGTCACATTATCTTTCAGCGAATGTCAACTTGACAAGTAAAACGACGTTTTGAGTTATTAAAACAATTATTAAATCATCTAAATTCTACTTTAAAACGTTTATTAAGTCCAAAATGATTTTTTTAAAAAGTGATTTAATACAGCGTCCGGTTCAATCAGACTGTCTTTAAAGTCATGATTTGTCACTTTTGATAATAAGCTGAGTAACTATTTACAAAAACATGAAATTGCAGTTACATTGCTGTACAGAGAGAAATCTAAATAACCTTTTATTAATGCTCCATCAGGTTCAATGAGCAAGTTTGAACTCATTTTATGTTTTTTATCAATCAACAATCGCAGCTCTTCTTTAATAAATCAGTTTGGACTTTATCAAACTCTTCACATCAGCTGCATGAAAATTGTTTAAAAGCAGAATTTTAATTGTTTAAAAGCAGAATTTTAATTGTTTAAAAGCCAGCTTATATACACAGGAGCATGTTGGTTCACCACAGCAGTGACCTTTTACCACAACAAAACACCACAAGAACAGGCAGCTGATTCTAATGACAACATTAGTCATGAGCAGCCTGTACTTTCTATTTCAGTCATTGGCAGAAAGCAGAAGTCCAGTTTCAGTCCTGGAATCCTGGAGTCCAAACGGGACTGTTTTTAATCTAAACCCGGGTTTTAACTCTTCCTGACCGGCTTCTCTGCT